ATAATTATATTATTACAGTGAAGGTGTCTCTCTCTCTTTCCTGTCTCCCTCTCTATTTTCTTTTGAGACAAGGTCTCACTTTGTGGCACAGGCTGCCCTCGAGTAGGTAAGAAGAAGCAGATTTAACTTACAAGGAGAAGGATGGTTTAGAATACAGCATGGCCATCCAGAGAAATAAGAGTTTAAGGCTTATAAATTACTTTCCCCAGCTAAATTCAGCTGCACAGGTATAGAAAGGAGAAGAAAAGTTGGATTTCAGATTGGAAGTTGCCAAGGGTTCAACTGTCAGAAAAAAGCAGAATACTGTCAGGGAAGCCAGTCCATAATGATTATAGATGTTTAGTTTGATTACCCTGAAAAGTGATAATCCAAGCTATTCTCTTTTAAAACTTTTAAGTGTAGATATATGACCTAAGACTACTGTCATTAACCCTCAGCCTGATCATCATTTTTACATGATAAAACCAGACACACTTCTATTTTCCTAAGCTTTGAACACACCTATGGGTAAGAGGCAGTGTGAGCCAGTGAAAAGAGAAAGGGCTCTAAAGTCAGACAAATCTGGATTCAAATTAAGACACGAGGTAAGTTACTTAATCTGTCTTGAGCCTCATTTTCTTTGACCATTAAGAGATGAAATAAGGCTACCACAGAGTTCATGAGCTTACTTGTTTAATAAAGAACTAAATCATATGAACACATGATTAAAGACTGTGTTTTTGTTATTTAAATAGGCCACAGTGTAGCAAGCTTGTTATTAGCACAGACTGTCCTTCACTATTGGAGACAACCCAAAGCAAAAGACTTTTGAGTATCTTTATAACACCACCTACCCCTTTCACAAAAATCTATTTTTAACAGTATTTTTAATTTCTAGGAGTGAGGAAAAAAAACCAAATCCAAGTACTTTATAAAACGTAAACCCATCCCTAGTCATGGCATGCAAGCTTCTCTTGGCTCTTGTATGCTCTGCCCCAAGAGGTACTCTCTGGAGAGTCCGTACCACTGGTCACCAGCGCCACCTTGTGGCCACCATCTTCAACTAGCGGTCACTTGAAGCCACTCTGCCCTACCCTCTGGGAGTCAAACATACCAAGAGGGGTCCTGCAGAAGGATCTTGGGGAGAGTAGCTTCCAGGATAGTCATCATCCTCTTCCTCTTGTATTTGCTGAAAAGTTCGTTTCAGAGATTTCTTCTCCTCTGTTGCTAGAGGAAAGCAAAGTGATAAATTTGAGTCGCATATTCCACACTTAGGGTCAAATTCTAGGCACTATGGGACACATGTAAAAACAGAGCAGAGGGGTGGGTGTTCATTTTCAGAGATGACCTAACATTAACCTTTATGCCTGTTATTTTAAATGGGTTGTAGTTCCTTACATTACTGAAGAGTCAAAACAGTCTTGGTCTGTCATCTCAAACTGACTCTGGAAAAACATTACTGAAAACAACCATCTAAAAGTGAAACACCAAGTTATCATATTTAATTAAAAACAGCATATATTTAAAGAAAAAAATCATTAGGAGAAATAAAATGGCGAGAAACTCATTAGACAATATAATGAAGTAAGCCAATGGGTACAAGGGTTATTGAAATCATATTGTACGTAAAATTAGGTATTTTATGCCATCCAAAGATCATTTCAGAAAATAAATAGGTGAGAGAATTCATCAATAAAACTGTGTCCCAGATTCTAAATACTGTACAAATATCTTTTAAACGATTCCTTTAAAAATTAAAAAAAAATTAATTATACCTTTAAGCAAAAAATAGCCATTACTGAAAAATCTGATTGATACTAATGGGAGAAATTACTTAAGTTATCATTTTTAATTTAACCACTTGAGGCTCACAGGTTACCTTTTTTATTATCTGTTCCTTATGTTTTTATATTGTTATGACAAATGTGTTACTTCTAAAATTATTCCTATTGTATCAAATTGGACAATAAAAAACAAATGTCAAACAACTAATCAATCTAAATAATAGATTCTGATTTAGAAAGTAGAGAAATACTATACACCTAATATGTGTAAGGCATTGCAATAGCCCATTTACATTTAATCTTTCTAACAAGTCTAAGATGTAGCATCTCCACAGGGGAGGAAACAAAAGGCCTGGGGAGATTAAATAACTGAAAGAGGCATGCCTTCAAAACTTGTGGTTTTTCACTGAACTCAAATTATTAAGCACAATACAAGTGCCCTTTCATCTTTCAAAAAAAGGGGGACACCGGGCACCCTCTCAGAACTCTGTGACTTACACAAAGAATAACTCATGTAGAACATATACTTTTCACTGAAACAGTTTCTTCAGGAGCCAAATATGTAGCTTATTTTCTACCTTACAAATTAACTGACCAAACTATGAAGTGAAAGCCAAATCAATAACATAAATTATATTTTTTTCTTAATGTTTTGTTTGTTCTACTAAAACATCACCAATATTGTAATACTGGTAGTCTTCACTTTGCATGATTCTATTATGCATGGATTAGTTACCACCATTAAATACCAGTCCAACAATAAAGCTCAAATTTCAGTTACCATGCATATCAACTCTGTATTCTTGGATAAAGTACAAATTTCTCTAATACTTCAGCCCTCAAACTGTGATCAGTGACCAATCACATTACTTCTTCAAAGTCTGTCAGTGACGGGCTACTACACATCTGTTACTCAGTTCACACACAGGTAGCAAAGTGTGAGGACATGCTGCTGCCTCATTTCCTAGTGGTAAGTCCACATGACAATTAATAAAAATGAATAAAGGAAATAGGGAATTAGCAATAAAGATCAAAGTGCTACAAAGAAAGTACAATAAAAGCTAAGGTGGAACTGAAATTCCAGTGGCACAGAAACGAAGTTACAAACAATTTGAGTCTTGTCATAAGAACTTAGTGAAGACCAGTGGTGGTAATGAAAAGGAAGACAATGTCCCAGAGGAAGAGATGCTGACAAAAAAAACTTCATACCAAAGGAACACTGAGGGCACCAAGGATAGAATGTTGTAAGTGGAGTCATTCACTAAGGCCTAGAAAAGCTCTCTGTATCATGAGCTATAGTAACTAGAAGGCAAGCACTGTTCCACTACTCTTTGACAAGTCTGTTACAAAGAAACACTTTAATCCTCAATGTTTCTAATTCTCTGTTACTATATAATAAACTGTCTTACTCTCTTGTGTTTCCCTACAAATTGGTAAACAACAGTGTTTTCAACTCTGACAAAAAGATCACAAAACAACTGCAATTTTCTCCATTGATTCTTAAATTCACTTTGTATAGTTTCAGCTTGCACAGTCATTTTTAATTTTACACTACCAGGCAAAGCGAGGATTGTTGTATTTTTTAAATGGAAAATGTATTAGGGTATAGTTCCCACCTGAAACACCTAATAGTATTTTACACACAGTAGCTGCTTGATTAATGCTCTGGCCTGTAGTATGACCCACATAAACATTCAGCCACTATAACATCAAGGTGGACACAGAAAGAGTGGCCATTAGAATGTAAACAAAGACCAAAAATAAAATCTACATTGCTTTGTTTGCTTCCAAGGACATAGAAGAGTGCTTGATAAATCGTCAAATACAGTAAATTATAACTTAAAATCCTTCAGTTTCCAAACTCTCACAAAGAAATTATTATATTAGATAAAAAACAAACAACTCACTACCTCACGACCCTATGGATCACTGAATTTTGGCAATGGAAGGCCTTAGATCTGCCTTTGCTTTCCCCAACTTCAACAATCAAGGCTCACAGGTTGTGATCTGTTTAAAGCCAAGGAGCTTGTTAGTTTAAATCTGGGTCCACAAGCCAAAGCCTTCTGCTTCCTAACGAGGGGTTCTCATTATCACTTCATACTGCCACTCACCCACAGCACAAGACTCAAATCAAACTGAAAAACATAATTTTGGGGCCATTTCTGTTCTTTGTTGTCCTGATGAAAGAAGATAAAATAGGAGGTTAAACCATTATCAGCCTACTTTTCCAGTTTACTTATATTTTCAACCAGAGAACCCACTGGTGGTACAAATCTAAGATTTCTAAAGATAAGTTATTCATCCTTTCCCCACTAAAGCTCCTATTCTCTGAGCTACCTATTTCCAGAATGAAAACTTCTACTGGCCCCATCTTCAAAGTACAAAGCCTTGGAGACCATCAGAATCTACCCCAAAGTTCCAGCTTCTATCAGATGCCACACCGCTGAGTGATGTCTTACAATCTCTCCTGGCCCTTTCCATACATGGCCTCTCACTGGCAATTGGCCCTTTATCACACCTTGTGGCGACTGTCCCATCTTAGTCTCCCTGCCTCTAACTGCTTTTTCCAATTTAGATATACTCCATTATTATTCTGATCTTCCTAAAGCTGAGCTGAATGGCACACAGTGATTGTACACTTTCCTCATGAGTTCTAACCCATCAATGGCTGCATCATTTTGAGTACCCCTCCAATTCCCACTGCACTTGGACCTCTCTTTTAAAGTACCAGCCTTACTGCTTGGTAAGGCTTCTGGCAAGCTTTCCTCTTTAGGAGGAAGTATCTTATTCCTTTACCTCCCAACAGTATCTAGGAAAGGGTCAACAGACCAGAGTGGGCAACCTCCTGAAGGGAGTGGAGCCACAGGGCTTAGAAAGTGCTTGTGCTATGCCAAAAATGGTATCATTACTACAAAGCTGGCAGTGATTAGGACCACAGTTCTCAACTGGGTTAGACAGCCATTAAAAAAAACCTAGCAAAAAAAACCCCTAGCAAATCTGTCAGTTATGATTCCTACACCAGAATTTGTTTGTTTGTTTGTTATTTGTGGTGCTTGGGATCAAACCAACCCATGGTATTGTGCATGCTGGGCAAGTGTTCCACCACCGACCTACACCCCTAGCACTTTCCATTTTTTATTTTGAAATAAGATCTTGCTAAGTTGCCCAGGTTGGCCTTGAACTTGCAACTCCTACCTCGGCCTCCCAAGTAGCTGGGATTAAAAGCATGTACCACCACATCTGGCCTATTACATATTTAAAATTTTTTTATTTTTTTGCTGGTGCTAGGGATTGAACCCAGGGCTTCACTTGTGGTAAGCAAGTACTCTACTACTCAGCTCCATCCTCAACTCCCTATACTGAAATTTAATGTAAGTTTTCCACTATCAATTCTGACCACGGTAATTATGCTCCCTTTTTACTCACTCAAGCACTGCTTTCAGGCAGGGAAAACCCTGCCGGTGGTCAATGTTCTTTGTCTTCATATTGTCCAGCTTCTCTTCTATCCTCTAATTTGTCCCTGTGTCTCCAGAAGGCCTTGCATTCACCTAACTTTCAAGTAATCTTGGTTACACTGGGTATGGTATGCCTCTCACAGACCTTGTGGTGGTAATTCCAACATCATGGCAGGCCACGAAACTAATCTTAAGGCAAAAAGGTGGCCTGAAGTCTCTCAAATCACATCACAAAACACAGCTATCTACCTGCAAAGCTGGATCTTTTACAGAATACACTTGAAAATTTCTGGGATTTAAAACAAAAACAAAAACAAGCACTTCATATTTTATATCACTTTTAGAAAAAGAATCAGGTAATATTGTTGGCAACAATTCCTTCATTCTTTGTCTCCTCTGCGCAAAATAAAGTTTTTTAAAAGCACATTAAATTTTACTTGTGAGAAGAAAAGAGGCTGCAATAAACGAAGGGCTAGCTCTTGAGTGATAGTTTTAAAAAGCAATCCGCCCTCATTATCTCTGGACTGAGCAACTAAATCCATAACGCAACCTAGGGCAGCTGGACCCACAGCTCATGCTCTTAATGACCACACTCTCCAGCCTTGCACAAAATCCAGGAGACTGAAAATACTAAGTCTGCTCCTACTTGTGCTAACTGACTCATATACAGAAACTCCAAATATTAAATATTAGAACTGAGAGGCAAATAAAAATTATATCATCAACCCACTGATAATATCTTTGCTGCATTATGTCAAGTAATCCTCATCACAACTCTATGAAGTATTACTATTAACAGCCACATTGTACCGGGCAGACCTGAGGCTCAAAAAGGTCAAATATGGAGCCCACGGCCACACAGCTTTAGGTGACAGAGCTGGGATTCACACTCAGGAAATTTGAATGTCTAAACCTTACTGAGGTTCAGGTGAGTTGGGACACCTACTCATGAATTCATAGTATAATTCAAGTCCATTAAATCCATGTGCTTTCAGGAAAAAGTACAGTGCAAAGAACATCAGCCTTAAAGTCATGTAGGCCTGGGTCTGAAATCTCCACTCATTAACTATATCTCCTTGGACAAGATTACTATACCTTTTTGAGCCTTCCTATCCTCACCTGACATAAAATAATACTGAACTCAGTAATGGTAAGGGCCAGGGATTTGGCTCAGTGGTTCTGGTGCCTGCCTCGCAAGCGCAAGGTCCCGAGTTTGATCCCTGGTACCAAAAAGAACCAAAAAACCCCAAAACAACAACAAAAAAAGTAATGATAAAGATCTAAAATAATACATAGGCAGGTGGCAGAGGAGCTAGTACATAACGGGTGCCTAATAAATGCTGGTTCCTATGTAACTATCTTTCCTTTTTAAATCCTTCCACAATTGCATAATACTATGTGATTCATTATGATTGAAGTAAATAATAAATTCCCATCTAATCAAGCAACAGCTTTAGTATTCCCAAGAACAGGTGGCAACTTTAAAACACCCAGGCTTTGCACTTGGTGAGACAGGTATATAAACTCAAGACATCTACAGTTTTTTTGTTTTTTAGGTTGTTTTTTTTTTTGGTACCAGGGATCAAACTCAGGTCCTTGCGCTTGTGCAGCAGGCGGCCAAACCACTGAGCTAAATCCCTGGCCCACGACATCTATAATTTTAAAACAAGTTCATGAGCTTATACATGCTTCCATGTTACAAGAACTGTCAAAATTCTACAGGGAAATTTTTTATTTGAAAGATAAACTCTGTGAAATAGCTTGAAGATAAAGAATTACCCAGGAATCAAAGCTGGAATACAACGGACTATTTGAACTTGACAATAATTTTCTGGAGAACTCATCATCAATATTTTGAAAGGACTGTAGTAAAGTATTCTAGAACTCAGGTCCAGAGAAGACAGTGATCTGAAACCAATACACAAGCTGAAACCTTTTGATGTTTTCATCTTAAAGAATAGCAAAAAATAAACTATCTTTAGATTATGTTATCTTCCATTGATTCTGCCTCCACTGTCTGTCTAGACCCTCAAAAAAAATAATTCAGAAACCCAAGAGAACTATTTTCAATACTGCCACAAATTCCTCCATTTGTGTGACAGCTCCCTGAATGCAGACCTATTTCTCCTTCCTCTCTTGCTCTTTCCTATTGCATCTAACTTAGCTGTCTACTCAAAGTACATGTCCAGTCAATACTTGAATTGAAATTCAACACTGGCTTCAAGCATCCTTTTTCAGAGTTCACCTGTTTACCCAAAGGTGCTTTTAAAAATCAGCACTGTTTACTAAATGAACTGTAAGGCAGAGTGCAGAAAAGAATGCTGGATAATTCCCCAAAGCTGTACAGAATAAACACCTCCAAAGGACAAAATATCAACACTATCAGAATCCAAAATAGGAAACATCCTGTTTTTCAGAAGCTACCACCAGAATGACCCTAGAATTATTTTCTAACTCCAAGTAAAACAACAGTGACCTACAGTCCAAAAGCACTTATGTCATTGTTAGAAAGCCTCTAACCTTCAGTTTCACAGGAATATTACTGCAAAATGCATGTAATTTTAGACCTGGAAGAGATCCTGAAAAGTACACAATAAAGCACTGCTGAATTAATAATGTTACACCTGCTAATCCCAGTAAGGTCTATAGCAGAGGTGTGAACACAGTACTAATGAACAAGCAAAGAATGGTTCCATGTGCCCCGACAAGCAAGGAAACTATCAGAGTGAGAGCAGCCCTCTTGCAGAATGCATTCGCACAGTGAAAGGGGTCGAGGGACATCTCAGGCAGAGGTAAGAGCAGGTGCAGAGGAAGTGGTACCCGGAGAGCATCAGGGGGCCTGGTAATTCAATGTGGCAAAAGAAGAGGGTGTCTGTAAGGGAATGACAGGAGAAGAATCTAGAGAACTAGGCTAGTTCAGATTAGAAAAGGTCCTCAATACTGCTAGTACTTGGACTTGATCCTGCAGGTAACGAGTATATACCAGTCAGATCAGATGTGTAGCTTAGAAACATATGCCAACTAAAATTAGATCACAACTAACTAGAAGTCAAATGATCAACTAACATATTCTTTAGAGGAAAAAATTAAAAGTTCTTATGAAGAACTTGGTAAAATTTATATATACATGCATAATTCCCAAGACATCCTGGGCCCAGTAAAGATCAAAATAAATTTTAGAAAACAATCTTACAATCATAAGAAGAATATGTTCCAAAACCACAATGGTATTTAATGAAAACAAGTTCTAGAAGGGCTGAAGGGCTTATCTAAGATCTGTAGTAGTTAATGGCAGGACTAGGACAAAATCTTAGTACAAGGTACTTCCAAGTTATCCACAATGCCGAAGTACTTTGTTGTTCCTTCCCTTGTGCAAGACAGTCTTTCAAAGACAGAAGAGAGCCGAGGAGAATACACAGCAAAAGTTAGGGAGAGATAGAATGAACAGCATGAGTGCTAGAACCAGGCTCGCACACCACGAGCACTACATAAATTCTCACCATCATTCATGATCATCTTTTCTGTGAAGAATCATAAAATTGCTCGTGGTTCACAGCAACCCCCACTGCAGCTTTTCATATTTGATTCGAAAGTAGGCAAAGACCAAGAGCTGTAAACATGTGGTGATGTTTCTACCTTTGGGGGGAGGGCTCTTGGAGTCCTCCATAGACAGCTTCAGCTGCTGTATGAACTCGCCGCCATACACACTTCTTTCTTGCCAGATGTTCAGCAATCTTTCTAAAGGTTTTTTACAGCCTTCATCTGCCTCTCTGCCCAGAAAAGATGAAAAGATATATGTAAGCTTAAGATCTTTTGCTTTTAATTAGGACAAATCTACTTTTAAAAAAAAGAAATCAACAACTGGCTAAATGATTTGCATATTTTAAAACAGAAGGAAAAGTAAGGCACATATTGTGTTACTTGGATATCTAAAACTTAACCAGAAACTGCCTTTTCCTGCGGTGGATGGGGAACACAAAGGAATAATATAGAATAAAAAATTTTCCCCTTTGAAAGATGACGCAAATAGTGGAAAAAGCCAATGGCTGATTTTTACAGATAGCGAATAATCAAAAAGTTGATCATATTAATGGTGACTGCTTGGTTTTTAGGAAGATCTCAGTTGAAATGTAGTGCCAGACATTCTATTGAAAATTAAAGTGAGTCAAAACTTAGAAGTCAAAACTTTTAATTCTTTTTAAGAATTAAAAAGATTAAAAAACACAAATGTTTAAAATGGGAAATTCAGAAGAGGATTTAGCTCAGTGGTTCTGGCGCCTGCCTCGCAAGCGCAAGGTCCCGAATTTGATCCCCGGTACCAAAAAAAATTAATTAAATAAATAAATAAATTTTAAAAATGGGAAATTTACCACACTAACACACCATCACCTCTATATGCATAAATACAATTATACACATATATACCAGGACTGATCTCCACTTAACTTCATGATTATTTTAACACTGGCTAAGTCTATGTTCCATGTTCACACACAGGTGTCTGGTTGATATCTTGGGACACGCTGAGAATATTGCAGTCCTTCTGTAATTTATATCTGAAAGAAGCCTGGTAATTTTTTTCCTGGCATGGACTATGATTAGCACTCAGTGTGCATCTGCTGCCTATTATAAAACATCAGACAGCAAGTAGAAGAGTGGGACACTTTCTGAACAGAAACCAAATTTACTCACCACCCACTGGGTTCCTGTGAATCGTTCTGTTTAGTGAGGTTGTGAGGATGTCAATGATCTTATATTGAGCAACTCTAACCAAGAAAGAATACCTCGACATCTTAGGACCCAAGTCAAGTATCTTTAATAAGAATTTCAAGAAACCATACCAAAGTCAACCAGATGGGAATCTATAACACCTTCAACTGTGATAGCACTTTTTGTAAAGCTTATGCTAAAATTCAGCACAAAATAAGGTTTCAGGTTGGCCTGCCCAGACTGTGTTACTTATGAATTATTAGTAACATATTTCACTAAACTAGGATCAAAGGACTAAACCAGTAAACATAAAAATTTATTCTTTTTTATCTAATTTTTTATTTTTCAAGTTAGAAGTGAGGGTTAGGAAAAAAGAGAAACACTTCTATAAATAGTTATATTTATAGGGTTCAAAGATATGACCTAATTATCTCGTATGACATTTTACTCCATCTCCAGAAATGAGCTCTTCTGACCCTTTCCTCTGGTATTAACCTGGCCCAAGTTACTATCATCTCCTGACTGGATTACAACAGTTCCATTACTGGGCTCCTCACTTTTACTCTAGTGCTTTTACATCTACTCTCAAGTTCTAATAATTCTACCTGCTGTGTTAAGCAGATCACATGTCTTCCTATTAAAGGTGAAAGTCCCTATAAAGCCTTCAAGGCCTTTTTCATCCCAGCCCTCTGAACTTGGGCTTTACCGCCAACTCACGGTTTCCCTCCCACTTAAAGTTTGCTTTGCTCCTGCTGGCCACATGACTCATTTCTGTTTCTCCTTCAAGTGTATGCTTAGTCCCACACTACCTTTTCAGAGAGTTCTTTCCTAATCTCCACACTGCACATACTATACAATTTACTTGTTCACACTCTTTCCATTTGAATGTATTGCCACGAAGACAGGGATTTATCTTTTCACTTACTGCTAGATGACCTAGAATGAGCATAAATGATATGTTCAACTCTCATTTTTGAAAAATTTTACATGGCCATACAGTTAATAAGCTTTCAACAATCACCTTTCTGCATTAAGGTCATGCATGTCAGAAATCAACTAAGTATCTCCCGGTTCAATCAATGAAGGTTTATGGAATATTACGCTTGAAATACAAAGAATAAGGCCTACTCCCTGACCTCTAGGACTTGAACCCAACAACCCCTCAGGTCTTTGTAATCTCATCTCCTTTCTTCAACCCTTTCTGGGAGTTCACATTCTAGCAACACCCAATCATGCATATATTCCAATTAGAACTTGTTCTTTCTTGCGTATCTGCCTTTGCTCATGCTATTGCCTGTATTATGAATGGAAACCCTAAAATTAAACAAGACAGAAAGGAGAAGTTGTAATTCAGGTAGTTGAAATATATAGGTATATACAGAAACAGTAGAAGAATCTGGAAGGACAGAATGGAATCAGACTAGAAAAGTCCGGGATACCATACTAAGCATGTGGTCTGCAGGCAGTGTGAAGCCCCTGATGTACGATTTAGAAAAATAGTCACATCTAATGTAACCAAATCACAACTGAACAGAACTTAATTGACTGGCTGGTACTTTTTACAAAATCTGTTCTCTGAAGAACCTGTTTGCTGAAAGAGAAACCAACCATCAGAACAAACTTATCAAGGTTTTGGGGGAGGGGGCATGATACCCACCCATCCACATCCATCATTCCTGGAGGCATTTGGGACTCCAGATGAGACTGGTTTTCAGTATAGTTTCAGCCACATTTTTAATCAGTGGACAACTGCTCAATATTGTTATAACCTCAGAACACCTTCAAATATTTCCACTACTAAAGGCTAAAGTCAAAAGAGGCCTCTAATTTAATCAATGAACATAACTAACTAGGATAGTTTATTTCCTTAAACATAGTAAAGCAAAGTTTTGCTTAGATAATTTTCATGTTATAGGTAATATATTCAAGATATCTTTTTACGGATGAGTTTCACAAATAAGCTGTCATGAACTGAAAGTCACTTTAACACCTGGAATCAGATACAGTTAAAGCAATTATAAAAAGGGAACTCTTTTCAGGTTGCACTAACTTCATTTTACATCAAGAAATCTTTAAATGAAAAAACTCTTTGTCATCAATCTTTGAATAAACTGGAAGATGATGATAATTACCTACCCAATTATTATGTCAAACACTTCATTTGCATGTCAATTCTGATTAAACTCACTTTTCTAATTCAGATGGCAAAAATGAACATAAAAGTGAAGAAGTGTATTATACACACACAAACAGAATTGCTGCTTGAAGTGCGGGCTGGACATCTGAGGTCTTGCCAAGTGAGGCTTGGGGGACTTTTCATTATGCAGCTCTCTGGCGCTTTCTTAATATATTCATTGTAAAAGGCTCACTAAGAGCAAGAATTCTAAGTATGGCCAGCACTTCCAACAACATCTCATGTAAAGCTGGGGTAGAAATGTTCTGTTACAATTGTTCAGAAGAGTTAACATAGATTGCTGGAGGCTTGTTACCCTTAAAAAAGCCTGTTGACAAGTGGGCCCTTGATGACATCTAGGAACTTGAGATTGCAAGAGTACTCCCATCATTTCCTGACTGTTCAGGGGAGTTTACTTTGTGTAAACTGTACAAACAATATGGTCCCAAATGAACACCTGCTTTCTGGGAGCCTGGAATTACCACAGAGGATGCCCTACATGACCAATCTCAACAAAAACTCTGGGTGCTGAGTCCCTAATAAGCTTTCTTGTTAGACTGCATTTCACACTTGATGTCACAATTCAATGCTGGAGAAATTAATTATGTTTGTGTGACTCCACTGGGAGGTAACCCTTGAAAGATTATACCTCGAGCACTCTAGTCTTCACCACATGCTCCTTTTCCCTTTGCTGATTTTGCTTTGTATCCTTTGGCTATAATAAATCATAGCTGTAAGTGTTCCTAGGGGGCTACCATATCTGGGAGTGATCTTGGAGGCCCATACACAACAAGAAATATTATATATATGATGATAACCTCCAAATTTATGTTTCCAGAAAATAAATTTCTAAGGAGCTTAAGACTGTCTCATCCATATGCCTATTTGGCATCACCCCCTGGAATATCTATCAGCCACCTCAAACTTAACAAAACAAAGCTCATTTCGTCCACTAAATCTTTTCCCCCACTTTTCAGCTCAGTTACAGTACTATCAGCCAAACATTTACATCACCAACCCATAAGTCATTTTTGGGGGGGAGGGGGGGTACCGGGAATTGAACTTAGGACCTTGCGCTTGCAAGGCAGGTGCTACACCACTGAGCCAAATAATCCCTGGCCCCCATAAATCATCTTTGATTTCTCTTTTCCTTCTCTACTAGTTCCTAACCAACTTCTATACATCTTATAACTTTTACACGTGGGAAAAAAATCCAACTACAAAGAAATCATCCAATAAAAGGAAGCTATCTCCTCATTGTCTGAGCCCTAGCCGATGTCAACTGTAACCTGTACCACAGCAATACTCTCCGAACTCATGTCTCTGCCCTTCCCCTGCCCTTTACAAATCCATTCTCCAAGCCAACCCATTTTTAAAGAGGAATCTTTGTAAAATGTATGTTGGAATATATCATTCCTTAGCTTAAAACTCTGCATGGACACCCTATCAGCATAAAATCCTAAATCTCTCCTGAGGCTTGCAGGGCATACATGACTGGTACCTGTCCACCTCTCTGATCTTGTTTGGGTGCCACTCCTTCCTTTGCTATGTTCTAACCATTCTGGCTTTCACTCTGATTCTCTTAAGATTCCAAGATCATTTCTACCTTAGGTCTTATTTAATAGCTGTTCCTGCTTTGCATGATTATCTCACATGTCATTTCCTTAGAGAGGCCCTCCTTAATCACACTGCTGAGAAGAGATCCCACTCTAGTGCACCATTCTATTTTACTATGTCCATATCATCACTCTCTCAAAGTGTCTTGTTCATTTCACAATCCTTTGCCTGCTTTGTTCCATGCTGTTCCCCTAGTATCACGATCAGTCATTGGCACATAGTAGGTATTCACTGTACATGTTGAATGAAAAATGCTATGTACAGGGCTGG